CAGTGTAGAGTAGCGCTTGTTGTTTGTCATTTCGCTGATCACAAATGCAGACATGGTTATGTTTACACGGCGCGATGCAACGCAAAGTGTAAAAAGACAGTATAAGTCATTATAATCCGTAATTATGTCCCCACTGGATGCAACAAATGCCTCGTTTATAATGGGTTTTATTGTTTTTGTCTCATCGCACCGGGACAGGGCATCACAGTATGGTAAGGGGTGTAACATTTCCGTCACACTTTTGAGGAATTTGGCCAATCACAACGCACTGGATAGCTGACCAATCACAGCACACCTCACTTTTCAGACCGATGAGCTTTGTAAAAATCATCACGTTTCAGAAAGGCGGGGCATAGAGAAACAATAATGTACAGTACGTGGAAAATGTGTTTTTTTAACCTTAAACCGCATAAACACATTTCATTACACCAAATACACAAAATAATGTTCTTTTTAGCAGCATCACATGACCCCTTTAAGCATTGAAATGTGCATAATTCTCTTACTTCCAACACAGCATGTTCACCATTAATCTCTCCCCTCATTTTCCTACGAAGAGGACAAAATTATTTTTTCTTGGGAGGGAACTGTAAATCCCTGTCTGGGTTCAGTTAAAAGGCTTAAAATGTCACTAAATGACAAATTAGAATCTTCCTCTAGCGTTTTAAGACAAGATGTTGTGGCATCCGAAAGTTACCTGGAAACGAGGTTAATGTGCAGTGAGCGTTGTGGTTATTAAAAACGTCAACCGTCTCATTACCCATCACAGATCTTGCCATGGGATTTCAACAGCAATTCAATTGTACAGCATCAAAGCATTTGTTCACTGCAAATCATCACAGGAGAGAGCACCCATGCTGAGATCTTGAACTTAATGCACATCAACGGATTCCAGCTGCTTACTTCAACAGGCTCACGTCAAAACGCAGATGCCGAAAATGTTCTTGCATTTGCTGAACATGTGATACAAGATGAAATGACACTTTTTCTGTTCAGTGCAGCGCTGTGATATCTCTGTCAGGAGTTGTGTGCCAATGCAGGACATCTAGTGAGCCAGCTCAGATTGGGGGTGAAAAGAGACTTTGGCATTTGTGAAGAGTTTCCATATGTATCACTTCTGTTGTGGGGCCCGTTCCACAAAACCAGCCGAAAGGATAAAGCGGCGGGTCTCTGTGCCAGTGTAAGGAGCAGGAGCTCTTCCGAACATGTAAAGAAGCAAAAGTTGCCTTGCCGCTGAGCAGAGTCGGGCAGAATCCTGCATTGGCACTGATAACATGCTTGGATTAGGGATGTTTAAGGGAAGGGAAAATTATTCATTTGAGATGGATGAAAAGCTGCACTTGTCAAGTCTCCTAGTCATGCACTTTCCATCTCATTCCCGGTAGCCAGCGTGCATATTTTCCCCTCAATGCAAATGTTCGCACAGTGAAATTGTGAGCACATTACCCCCTCTCTTTAAACACACCAAATGACACAGAGACCAAATTAATTTTCCCTGTGAAAAATAATTTTGGGGTGGGTAATTGGAGTTTACGGTGTGATCAGAAGAGCAGCTTTTTATATACACATTTTCTAAAAGAAAACATAAAAATTGGGAGGGTTGGGTAGGGCACAAGTACATCAGTGGAAATCAGTTTAGTTTTCAATGAGGGTCCGGGACCCACTAGGGGGTCTCAGCACACCACAAAATGGCTTAAAAGACTACAAAAGATTTAAAATAAGCTATACATCAACACGTAAGCTCATGGATTTCTTATTTTAATTAATTCACTTAAAGGCACAATGTAATTTTTAGCCACTAGAGGGCGCGTATTCAAAACAAAAAGAAACAAAGGCATAGTTTGATGACACTGAGTGTGGAATCATGGGAGTTGTGGTCTTCATCCTCACAGCCGACGCAATCCGACGGGACTCGGGCAGAAATCATGTTCATGGATGAGCTAATGTATTAAAGATTTGTTAACGTCGTAGTATGACGCAGAGTGAGGCGGAAAGCCGTCGAAGCAAAACGAGGCAGCTGAACGAGCGCAACACACGGCTCGAAAGCAGCGGAGCTTTTATTATGCCACAGTCTACTGCTTCTGCTCCTTCTGGAAAGCAGCGAAAGTAAGCAGCGCCATTTTATCATACTAGATACATTTGAACGTTCGGTTATAATGCTACTCTGTGCGGTCTTCACCAGTCTAATAAAATGCATAGCATATTAAAGCATCTTTGGTGTTTCCATGTTTTCTACAAAACAACTGGAAATCGAGGGTGTATAACGTCATTGGCAGGCGACACAATGACACTATGGACACGTCCGTGTCACTAGTTAAAATGGCTTATTTCTCTGGATTTAAACATTCTTCGAAACATTTGAGATAATGCAAGTACACACATCAGCAAAATATATAACACTGTTCTAGTGGTTTTTGGATATTTTAATTTTTAAAAAATGGTACATGTGCCTTTAACTGTCATTGCTAATTTACGAACCAGGATTCCCATAGTCTTAGAAAACTGCGACATAAGAGGAATTTTAAAAAGGTATGATTTTTTAGATGTGTAAAGTCATGAAAATTAATAATACCTCGAAGTTACTGATTTTTTTATTTTTAATGAATATTTTTCAGAAACTTTACAAGTAGGTTCAATTTAATGTAATAATTTAATTAATAATCAACATTTGTTACATTATCTTTGCTAATTTAATGAATAAAAATACAACCGTTTATTGTTCATGTCAGCTCAGGTCTATTAAATTAACAGATGCAACTTTTGATTTCAATAACGTATTAAATGCGGAAATCAACATTAAGATTAATAAAACCTTTAATTGTTAATTCATGTTCATTTAGCTAATGCTTTAATTTAAAACAAACAAACAAGCCCTTAATGTTAAGAAATGGAACCTTATCGTAAAGCATTACTAATTCTTTTAGTTATGTCAAGCTCTAAAATAATTTGATTGGGGAAATTGCTATTTTGGGAGTTAAATAATTTAAACTCAATTGCAAAAGGACTAGAAAAACTATTGTAAACTATAAAGAGCATTATAACCTCTGGACTTGGAAATGTATACAATTATTTTAATATACGGCCACTCCTACGATGTTTTTAAAAAGTCTAATAAAAAACAGCCTTGCCAATACAGAAGCAGTTATAAAAAAACCTTACAGGGGGCCTTTGAGTCAAAAAGGTTGAGAACCACTGCTCTAGACCAAACGGAGCTATCCAAGCAGGGCCAGCATTTAGAATGCAATTACTAATTCCAAATCTTTCCTGAGGACGGATGATACACTGAATACGTCAGCTCCCCTATACAAATATTATGATCCGTCTGATGAGAGCCAGGGCTCCAGTCTGGATGGCTAATAAATTAGAAGCACGCTTCTAGTTTACTCATCAGAGCTAATGAGGCTGATAAAATTACCTTGAGGATCATAATTACAGGCTAGTGGCAGAAGCGCTAGCACCATATCTGCAACACTCGCACACACACAGGAAGAGAGCAAACAGCTCAGCGCAGTGGCCGCCACTGGACAAGCAGAGTTTGACCTTTATAATAAACCGCACGTCAGATAAGTGTGTAATGTATGCTTTTAATTAAACAATTAAACCGCGTTGCATTACACTGAAAGCTTGCGATGCCACCCGTGTGCGTCGCATTAGCACACTTTCCACTGAAAACACACACACAAAAAAAACCCGCTAAAGTACACTCCATTTTCAAATCCATTGTGTTAGTGACCTGCGCTTAGCTGGCCTTGATCAAGCAAATACGTAAATGCCATTCAGTTATGTACTGAAAGACATACAAGCGTGCGCATGCGTGAGGTTAGCGAGGGTGCATTTGAGGTTTTGAAATACCAAACAAGTCGAACCCCACCATCCTTTATCCCTTCAATTTCATCAGACGGCTCATATACATTAAGCACTTGATCAGTAATGGCATCTTTTGATGGACACGGGCGGCGTGGACGCCAGAGAATTTCATTTCATCAGCCATTCACAGGACGAATTGTTTTACTTATGAATATTAATGTACGCCTAATTTGAGGCTGTTGTTAATGCTTGTCGCTAGGAGCTGGGCAAATCAGGTCCCATTCCTGTTAAAACCATGTATTAGACACCCCCCTGACACTAAGCCCTCGCCTTTGATTCTTAATTGCAGGAGTGCGAGCATTTGCAGGAGATGGGGCGCAAAGCTTTAATTAACTCTAATATCACACGTATTCAGTCTCGACTGTCACCCGCATCACGCGTGGCGTTCTGCACCAATATCCTCCTCGGCTAGAGAGAGACGGTGTTCCAAGTTCATGATCACAATTTCATGCATCTTAAATTGGGGATGGATGGCCTGTAAGCAGTGGCATGATATTAAATGCGAGTAAATTATTTTAACGCATTTTACTAAAATCCATATTAAATGATGGCTGTGTAAACGGCCGTTTTACAGCACGAGCGATGATGGGGACAACAATTACGAGCTGCGAACGAGAAGGAAACCGACTGGAAGTTTGGGATAAACCGGGCATTTCGGTTATTGTGACCATTTCGGCATAAATGGGCTTTTCCATTTAACGTTTTTGGGTTTCACAATTCACATGCACGCATCTGAGAGAATCGAGCATGAAGACAGCTGATGTAAATAAAACTACAATAAAGCTCTGGAATAGTTTAGGGCACATAAGAAACTTCATTAAGATTTATTAAAGAACTCATTTTAAAAGTCAAATAGGTTATACAATAAATAAGCACATCCATTTGTAAGCATCTCTCAAGAGAACTTTTAAAACTTCTTAAAACATTCATTCTGTAGGTTTTTCAAACAGTTAAGTCATATTTAAACACCATGTAAAAGACACCTTTGAACAGACTATATTTCTTAGATAAAGTTAAATGAGGGACACTTTTAATTGAACTAGGTTAGAGGGCTTAAAAAAAAAAGAGAATAAAACCAATAATCCATGCCTTTCCAGCACACAAGATCCTCTGCTCTCTCAAGAGAACTTTTAAAACTTCTTAAAACATTCATTCTGTAGGTTTTTCAAACAGTTAAGTCATATTTAAACACCATGTAAAAGACACCTTTGAACAGACTATATTTCTTAGATAAAGTTAAATGAGGGACACTTTTAATTGAACTAGGTTAGAGGGCTTAAAAAAAAAAGAGAGAATAAAACCAATAATCCATGCCTTTCCAGCACACAAGATCCTCTGCCGTCTAATCTCCAGCTTGATTTAGCATTCTCAGGAATATAAAATAAGAACGGAAAACTCTGCCTGTGCAAATGCATGTGAGCTCATAGTGCCCCCTTCAGGTCACTGCAAGCACTGCGTCTTCAAGACCTCTAGATTTAGCAAGTCAATTCTTATCATTTTTTTAGGGGGTTAGGGTTAAATTAAGATTCTACACAGATTTTTGGATCACAGTCAAGTAGCGCGTTTCAGCCAGCCTTGGGCATCTGTTTGTTTATCTGCTAATATAAGTTATGGTTTATGTCTGAACAAGTGAGGGGGTGGAAGACGACAATAAAAGAAATATTTTTGAACAATTATTCAAACTAGCCCACGCATTTAAAGAAAAGGCAAAAGAAGCATATAGGACCAATATGTTGAAAACTTAAAGCAAATGAACAGAACTAGTATTAGCTTAAATCAAATAAGAAGTGAAAATAACTACAAAAGAAAAGTGTTTAAACGGAACATTATTTTGCTCCAAGAACTCTAACTCACTGAATCACCTGGCATAATTGTTATACTAATCCCACTTATTTTTAAACCATCTAATGTCACCTGGAGAAATCTGGACTTCAACACGCTACAGCAGAACTTCTGGATCACTTCACTCCAGCAGCTCTCAAGTTCACTATCCCATTGAAGCTTTTTTACTTCTCCGTCTAAATAACTTTGAGAAGGACGACTTGCGTTTGTTTTTAAACTTCGGAAGACCTGCATCAAGAAAAAAAAGAAAAAAGACAGTTCGAAGGAATGTTAAAAGTTAAAAATGTCAAGTCTACGCTCAGCTTGAAGCAGCAAAGAACAAGATAAAAATGACAACTTCTCACCCAGTCTTTGCATCATCTCATTCAACTGTTGATCTTCCTCCTCCTCCCTTAAAATGTGACACATTACATTCACAAATGTGCTTTCGCAAATTTTGCATGCAAGTGAAAATTGACCACATTTAAAAGTATGGTATTTGACATGGAGAGTGAAAGGTGGTGTGGTTTCCTCAGGACTTACCTTATCCTGTCCTCCTCCAGCCCTTCAACAATGGCGTTCCTGTCATTCACTATCTTCATCAGTCTGTTCAATAGCTCGGTTTCCCTCTTCTTCTCATCCAAAGTCTTGACATGTTCTAATATGCAAACACACATTTTATGGCTTTTCCTCAGCTGTTATAAAGAGTACAAGTGCAAAATGAACTAATACCTCTATTACATTTACCCTTTATTATAGAATAGGATTCAAAGTTGACATTTTTCAATTTCACTTTGCATCACTTCACACATCCTGTTAAATCACAATGCCTAATTATTAAAATCATTACTGATGATTTGAAGCACGGACATGTCCGAGAATTGCTTCCATGCGTCACAAGAGATCTAAGAATAAGCTTCATTTATAATTGGTGCCAATTTCTAAATGCAGACTTACCATAGCAACCAAAAGAGTAAAGATATACCCCACAAGGCAAAAACAAAAAGCTGCTTATTGCAATTTGTAGAATAAGTTTTTTTTTTTTTAAATAAATTAAAAGAAAAATCTTTAAACAAATCATGCCCTACAATTTCACTTTAGAAACTTTTTTCCATTTAGAAAAGGCAACATTTGCACTGAAAGATTCATCTCGGAAAAAATTCATTTTATAGACATTAGCTGGGTTTCCATCCAAAGTTGCAAATTTAACTTATGCATAAAACGTTTGCGAATCAGTACCATTTTCATCCGACAAATCAAAGAAGAAAAAAAAAAAGTAACTTTCTGATAAACTGGCAATAAATATCAATAACAAAAGTAGGAGAAGCCACTGAATATAATAATTTTTATACTTCAGATTTTGGTAGCCCGAAAATTTATATAACTAGCCCAAATAAAAAAAATACCTTTTTTTTTTTTTTTTTAAAAAAAAAAAAAAATAAAAAAAGATTTAAAAAATAAGAAAAATAAAAAAAAAAAAAAAAAAAAAAAAAAAAAAAAAAGTAACTTTCTGATAAACTGGCAATAAATATCAATAACAAAAGTAGGAGAAGCCACTGAATATAATAATTTTTATATAGGCTATAATAAATTACTTGCGCCCCAGAGAGAGCAGACGAAATAAATGCGGTCAATGCTTTCAGAGGGAGGCAGTTATAAAGAAGTACTTTGACAACAGACTTTGCTAAGGCATTTCAGAATAACCATAACATTTCAGATGCTGTGCAACGAGATCGGTCCGCTGGTTTAGTCAGGTTATGCCCTCCCATAGTGCGGTCATATTTATTTGGCAGATGCATTTCAATGTCCCATTCTTCGCATTAACTCTTTTCACACAAGTCAAAAACCACCTTAAGCGGGTGTAAACTTTTTGCGAATTAAGGGATTTTCATTCTAAATTTTGCATCTCCGTCACTTATTTCTTATGCGATACTACAAAATGCGCATAAAAACAGGAAACATAGCTATTGATCTCTTCCTCTAAAACAATCGGTCTATCTCTAATGGGAAAAAAGGTGAGCGATATTGATACTACACTAGTAACCCTGGCTAATTTTTACCTGGTTTATTGATCAATCTCCTGAGCTCTCCTTCGACTCCAGGCTGCTGCTCCTCCAGATCTTGTGTTCTTGCTCTGAAAGAGATCGAGACTGCTGTAAGGACCGTTTTAAGAGCGAACATCTAGGTACAATGGCTATTTTTCGCCATTGCATATTTTGTTTTAATATTAAAGTGATAGTTCACCCAAAAATGAAAATTCTGTCATTAATTACTCACCCTCATGTTGTTCTAAAAACCTTTGTTCATCTTCGGAACACAAATTAAGATATTTTTGATGAATTCCCAGAGCTCTCTGACCCTCCCATAGACAGCAAGGGAACTACCACGTTCAAGGTCCAGAAACATAGCAAGGAGATCTGTAAAATAATCCATGTGACATCAGGGGTTCAACCGTAATTATACAAAGCTACGGGAACACTTTGTACGCAAAGAAAACAAAAATAACGACTTTATTCAACAATCTGTCTCCTCCGCGTTGTTTTCTTTGTGCACAAAAAGTGTTCTCATAACTTCGCAAAATTACGGTTGAAGCCCTGATGTCACATGGATTTTAACGATGTCCTTTCTACGTTTCTGGACCTTGATCGTGGTAATTACATTGCCATCTACGGGAGGGTCAGAGAGCTCTTGGATTTCTTCAACAATATCTTAATTTGTTTTCCGAAGATGAATGGAGGTCTTATGGGTTTGGAACGACATGAGGCCGAGTAATTAAATGACCGAATTTTCATATTTGGGTGAACTATCCCTTTAAGCATTCTGAAAATGTTTGCATCCAGAAATAGCAGCTAGACAAAAAGAGAGAAACAGTAGTTGCTGAGTACGGGGATCACTTACATGTACATCAACTCCGATTCCCTCCGTATGTAGCTTTGTTTTTTCCGAATCAGGTTAAACCAGTCCACCATCAAGGGATCCATCAGCAGGTCCCCATGACCCTCTGCAAAACAGTCCAATGTCACTAAGGACACCAAGGTCCTAACTGTCCCATCCATAAGAGACACTCCACCTCGAGCCACAATTTAAAGTGCTCTGGAGACGGGCATCTCCAAATACTCACTTTCAACTTCTATTTGAGCTATGACTGAATTCTATTTGTTTCCTAATAGAGCACTGTAATGCGGTCTAAAAAGCATGTTTTCCATTGACATTGCCTTGAGGTGGTACAAAAAAAAAACAAAAAAAAAAAACATACAAGTACAATCACACGCGCGCGCGCGCACACACACAAACTTATTTTCATCAGGTGGTGGTTTCGGTTTTGGTGGGACCGAGAGGCAGTCAGGTTCTATGAAATCCCACCGGCTGCTAGCATCAGGACAGGTGACTGGAGCAGCGAGTCTGGAGAGGATATTACTGTGCCATGGTGACCTTGAAAAGAGCCAATCAAGTGCCCTTGCCCCATTCAGCTAGCAGCCCCTCATTGCAGGCCACCGCCGCTTCTCCATTTCCATCCCAGCATCCCTCAAGGAGGAGAGGGAGCTTCCCCTGCGCCTCGCCTCATTTGGCCCTGGCAGCTGGAATCGAGAGCCCTTTATTGGCCACAGTCTTCCCCTAAAGGCTACATCCGAATTCCGATTCCCAGGTGGATGGGCTCGGCTAACAGGTTTGGAATGAGTGCACGAATCACGGAACTCAATGAACCACACACACACACATATACACGGGGCTGCTACATGCGGTCTTACACCCCCCCAACACACAACTGCAAATGGATCTCGAATTGGAACATCTGATGTCCCAACAAGCTTTTGTCCTAAACAACTTTGAAAACAATTTTGGACCTTTAAAATTCAATTCAGACTTCAACTTGGAGAAATATTGAATGCTGCTATTACTACTCTAACATCTAATCTCAAACCTTCTTCATAAATGCGAAGCCTCCTCTCCAACTCCACCCCTTCGTTCTCCAGATCGTACAGCTTGTTCTCAATGTCCTGCAACTCTTTTGAGATCTGATCTGGTGTGATGTAGCAAGGCTTCATCTGAAAAGTCAAATAATGTAACCATGAAAACCATGGGTAGGACATCTTTAATTTAGAAAATTATTCCTGAGATTATATATTCGAGATAAGCTTTTGCAATAACTCACAGTAGGCAACTTTGTTTGATGCAGCAAGCCATTTGTAGATGAAATATTTCCATTGTCGCAACCTAAAGTGATAAATACTGCTTTTTAGAGTATATGAAAAGCTGAAGGCTAAATGTGGACAAACATGCAAGAGGTTTCAAATAATTAGTTCATAATATTAATAAAAAAACATTGATGGAGCAACAAGAGTTGTCTGATATGGAGGCTGAAGCATTTTGTGCTGTCAAACAATGGTCACTTTCGTTTTTTCCAGAAGTCAACGGGATATCCTTGGCATTATCTGGAAATCTATCAAAAGCAAACTAACCTTACTACACTGAAAATTGGTGGTGAAACAGTTTTCACTCAGAAATTGCTAGCAAACTTACAGAGCAACGGCAAATAACATTGAATTAAACATAACATTTTGAAGTAGAAACACTGCATTTTGTATATTATAGTTCACATTTACAACATTCAAAAGACGCAAAAGCATAATTTAAAACCAACATACAGTAAGCAGGCCCTCACCTTATATACAGTAGGTGCAAACAAAGCTAAAAGAACGATCATCTGAAACAGTCAGGTTTAGAACCTATGGACAGAAGAATAAGATCATCATAAATGCAAATCCTCCCATGATACAACTGATGATGTGGCCTGGACTTACCCTGCACACCACAGGTCTCTCCCAAACATAAGACAACAGGACTGAATGGCTGGAGAGGGGCAGAGGAACCTGGTGATGGACATGGTCCAATTTGAAAAGAGTAGGTGAAAAAGGCGGGTAAACTTCAGTCAGCATTTGGTATTTGAGAAACAAGTTTGCTCTTAATAGTGATGAGACCAGCTTACCACAGGTACCCTGCTGCTGTTCCCTTCTGGGTTTCGGGGCAACATTGATGGAGCAACAAGAGTTGTCTGATATGGAGGCTGAAGCATTTTGTGCTGTCAAACAATGGTCACTTTCGTTTTTTCCAGAAGTCAACGGGATATCCTTGGCATTATCTGGAAATCTATCAAAAGCAAACTAACCTTACTACACTGAAAATTGGTGGTGAAACAGTTTTCACTCAGAAATTGCTAGCAAACTTACAGAGCAACGGCAAATAACAATGAATTAAACATAACATTTTGAAGTAGAAACACTGCATTTTGTTGCAAAACAGTATATTATAGTTCACATTTACAACATTCAAAAGACGCAAAAGCATCATTTAAAACCAACATACAGTAAGCAGGCCCTCACCTTATATACAGTAGGTGCAAACAAAGCTAAAAGAACGATCATCTGAGGAACTCAAAGTAAGAGCATAGCATTTCAGGGGAGGTTGGTTTAGGCACAGCACTCCTTGGGACTGGTGAGGACTGGGGATAGAGTGAGAGGATGCACTCTGAGGCAGTCAAACACTATGGGGGAGGCAGGAGGCATCCGCCGGCTAGAGGATGGATACATGAAAGGCCCCACTGTCAGTACTCCAGCTCTGAAGAGTCATTGCAGCTCACACCCGAGTGACTCTGCCTGCTTCCCCTCGTGTGGATTAGAAAGCATTAGGGATAACTAGGCTGATCGAACTTACTTGAGTCTTGGTCCATTTGGAGCTGCCTTTGGCTTTGATCTCCAGTCAGTTGGGGCATCACAGCTCTGAACATCTTTGGCTGAAGCCGAGAGAAGAGAAGAAAATTACAGCAAACAAAAAGCACAAGCCACACATTCTCATATTATGCCATTTGAAGCCATGCTGTCAAATAGAAAAGACAAAAATACTACAGGGTGGAAATCAGTCTTCAGATTCAATCTTATTCCTGTGGGCTACATGAAAAACAATGGATGCTGGCCCGTGGCTTAATTTAACTTCTTTCCTGTGTATATTCTCAGCGGCTACTTACTGAGTATGTTTATGGTAATATTTCCCATGCGACCTTTAGAAAGCATTTTTAAAAAAAACTAACACAATCCATGCAAGCAAAGGTCATCTGCGAGTGAACACCACCTTTGGCAGTAGAAAGCAGCTGGGATGGAGGTCTGCTGTGCTCCTTGCTGATGGCACTGAGGTAGAGGGATTCTTTGGAGTTCATGCCTCTACTGCTGATAGCAGGGCTGGTTGAAGTGGCCTGATAGGAGCTCCTTCCCGTTGCAACTCGTCCGTGTAAGTCCTGCCTCCAGCTAGAGACTTCAGCAGAAGTGCATCTGATTTTTAGCCTGGGAGAGATGGTAACAAACATCAAATACATTAAGCATTCGCACTATGATCATACATTTATATTTCTTCTATTGTCGTCATTTGTAAGTGATGACAATAGAATGTAATATGTAGTGTTGAAGGTTTCACCGAGGAGGTTTTGGACACCTCCTTTCACTTTATCATAAATCAGAAAATGCTGTCACAGCAATATTTTTTTAGGAACAAAATGGAATTGACATGTGAACCTCTCTGTAAAAAAAAAAAAAAAAGGAAAGTCTGGTGTATGCAAGTGCTACTGAAGTGGGAATGTTTGGCTCAGTGCATGAGAAAAAATTAATTTGAAACAGCCTTTATAGAAACTTATTGTAATTGTTACTTTTCTTTCCACTATTCACGTTACGGAGGCAAAATAGCCCAAAATCTCCAAATTGACCAGTGCATGTAAAAAGCATAATATTTCATTTGGCTTTAAAAAGAGGTTTTTCTTTAGGTGGTGCTGCCTTAGGAAATGCTCTAAAATTAAAATTGTTTACATGTGATCTTACAGTTGTTCAACCCTATTCACACTGAGGTTGATGACAGTGAAGATTCCATTACCCAGTATATTTACATACACTTGATGCACCAGCTGTACACTGTTTAAAAGTTTGGGGTCACTAAGATTTCTGTATTCCCTCCCCC